ATATATATATATATATATATATATATATATATATATATATATATATACACATATATATACATATATATATATGTGGATTCTCTCCACACAGGAAAGAATCCTGAAAAATCAATTTCTCCAAATATATGGATAAGGTATCAAGATGGTATCAAGTTGGAGTGCTTGGTTAGAAGAATCTTTGGATTTGAAATGAATATACAGGATGAATGTTGAAGGGAAATGAACTTAAAGCAAAGGTGAGAGTGAATCAGGAAGATCGAGGAGAATTTTGGACTGCAAATGAATGCAAATGACCAATGGGTATGGTAAGGAAAAAAATGGAAAATTAAATAGAGAACAGGAGCTGGTTGACCAATTGGCACTAGTGCCAATTTGATCTTCAACTGGAGCAATAACAGTGAGGAGGGAATGTAGATAAATATGATGGCCATTAAAGGACAATGGCAATAAAACAATATGGTACCTTTATTCTGTTGTGGAAGTTGAACCAAAGGACTGGGATTTATGTATGAATGGGAATTGTGAGACCGATTGGATTTAAGGGAGTAAAAGATTCAAGACAGAGAAGGTATTTAGCTGGTTCGCACTGGTTCACCCAAACCAGTGGCAGAAATTTTCCCAGTTCGGCGAACCAGTAGTGATGGCTGGCTGGCCACACCCCCGAATCGGTCTCCCTGTTGCCAGTTGCTCAGCCCGCTTGGACTTACAAGGCAATGGGATGTGCATGTGCAAAGAAGATGACAGCCGCTTTTTCACTGAGCAGAGGATTTTTCAGTGGCCTGTGGCCAGCTGCCAACCTCTTTGAGAGCTGGTATGCAATGAGGCAGTGGCTGGGAGACTTCTTTACCAGCCAGCCACTCCCCAAAAGCGGCAGCTGGCTGAGGGTCACTGAAAACTCTGGTCAGCTTGCTTTTCAGACTGGACCAGCCACCATGGAAGGTAACCAACCAAAGAGGCAGTGGTGGGAGAGGAAGTGGGGGCAACTAGCGAAGGGAGGGCAGGGGTAGATAGGGAAAAATCCTTAAAAAATTCCTACCTTTTCCTGTGGGCATGGCTAGGTGGGGGGGTATGTGACTGAGTGGGCATGAGTGATGTCATTTTGGCCACGCCCACTCAGCCACAGCCCTCCCCCACCTAGCCATGCCCACCGAACTGGTAGCAAAAATGTTTGAATCTCACCACTGATTCAAGAGGCATGCATATGTACTTAAATTAACAATTAAGTAAACCTCCATCTCCCTTGGCATATTATTGTGAGCCCCTACGGCTAAAGGTTTGTGTCTTTGCCTTGCCAGAAATCTGAGGAAACCATTTTAGGAAATTCCACAGAGACAGCCAAGCACCTCACAGATCCTGACAAATTAATTGACTTGTAAAAGCTGCCATCCTGGCAGTCGGTAGAACAAAAAGTTATTGTGAAGTTGGTTTCTCAAATTAAACTGGCCCAGAACTCTCCTGAAACAGCTTAATCTTGAATCAGATTAACAAAATTAGAAAAAAAAACCTGTATTTCTGCCAAAAGGTCAGTAAACATGGGTGATGATAGGACCTTATCATAGTTGGAGAACATATTCATATGTGTGTGTGTGTGTGTGTGTGTGTGTGTGTGTGTGTGTGTGTGTGTGTATGTAATGTAATGTAATGTAATGTAATGGGTACATTCTAGGGTTGCCCAACTCCAGAACAACTCTGAGTGGCTGACAAATTAAAAAGTGTTGGACTGGGGTGAGAAATCTAGATTTAAGCCCTTGCTTGAACAGACCTTATTAGATTATTCAGGCTGGTCCCTGCTCTCAGCCAAGACTCTACCTCATAGACTTACTAGTGTGAAGTTAAACTAAGAGTAAAGTAACACCAAAAAGTATTCCTATAAATTCTATTTAAAAATTGCAGATGCGGTCATATGGAACATGCACACTGATGAGAACCTTCCTGTTTGTATTTGCAGCCAGGAGCAGGAAATGAGCATTTACTAAGAGAAAAGCAGAAGTAGAGCAACAGCTCTATCTTACAGCCACTTCGGTTAACAGCCTCAACCCAGATTCACCTTTGAGCCCTTCTTCTTTCACTTTTCTTAATACAGTTGATAAGACAACAGGTGACAAAAGCCATCGACATCAGGAGAATAATGGCACAGCTCACAATGGAAGAAATCACAGCAACTTTAAATCCAAAGGTATCATATTTGGAGATGGCTGGAATAAAGCAAACACAGTTAGAGGCGGACATCTGCATCTTGATATAACCTTCTTACCCCTGCAATTAAATGCACCAACAGTAGGAGTGTTCTGACTTAGCTCCTATCTGGAAACATTTCAAAGCCAACTATTTAAAAGCCTCTTATTTATAAGTAAGCAATGAAATCCTCACGAGGAACTTTGCACAGCAATTACCGTACTCCAACACAACTCAGACAAAAACAAAAGGGGGAGTGGTAACTTCAAAGCACCACTTCAGGATATCCCTGGAACAAGAGGACCTTGTAACTATGATTGCTGCCCTTGTCACCACTATTTAAACTATTGTAGTGTGCGTTATATGGGGCTGCTTGTCTGGAAACTTCAGCTGGTATCAAATGTTGTGGCCTGGATGTTCGCCAGCAGTCACACTGTATTTAGTTTGGCGTGCAATTCAAAGTGCTGGTTTTAATCTACAAAGCCTTGGTGCTCCCCCCTCTCCCTGAAATCAGCCTTAACATTGTGTTTGTGTCAAGAGAAGCAGCTGATTTCCCATTTACAGGTCATGGAAGCTGATCCCCGACAACACTGTATAGAATAACAGAGTTGGAAGGGACCTTGAAGGTCTTCTAGTCCAATCGGCTGCTTTGGCAGGAAACCCAATACCATTTCAGACAAATGCTTATCTAGCTGTTTCTCAGTAGCAACACCTAAAACTTGAAGTTAAATTAGTCCCAAGCCTCACTGCTTTGTGGAAGAAACTTAAACTCTTCTAGAGAGATTTTGGCTTATGCTGCCTAGAATATTGGCCTTTTTATGCGGTCGCTGTTGAATTTTTGTCTTTTTTGCACTGTATTTTTATTGTATTTGTAAGCCATTGCAACCTGTTCTAACACACACCAGCAAAACATGGACACTAACCTCATAATCAATACAAAAGCTACAAGTAGCACAAAGAGCCATGGAAAGATACAATCACAGCATCACAAGACAAGACAGAAAAACCTGCACATGTATAAGAGAACAAACAAAAATATACGATGCCATCAGAAAAGTAAAATAATTGAAATGGAAATGGGCTAGTCACATAGCAAGAAGAACTGATGGGAGGTGGACTATATGGCAGTCACAGAATGGATCCCACTTGATAAAAAGCATCCACAAAAGAGACCTAAAACAAGGTGGAGTGACGACATCAGCTAGTATTGCAGGCCCAACTGGCAAAGGAAACCTTATTGCTTGGAAACATGCAGAAGAGACCTTCTTCCTGCAGTGGATAAACAATGGTTGGAATGGTAATGATGAAGCAATCGGTAGGATAGAAATCAAATGCATAGATACAGTAACATTGGACTGCATAATCAGTATTATAGGGCTAGAGGTAAGGTATGGTATGACTGAGCCCTGCTATTAAGGCCCAATGTACCAGTAGAGAGTCCACTGGCAATATCTCAAGTCACTTGGTCAGGTGGTTTTTCTCCATGCTTCCATTGCTGATTTGCCTTCAGTGGTAAGAGAGGAATGGAAGGAGGAAGGAACCTCAGATACTTTGCTGTCTCTTCAGAGGATTGCTACAGAAGATGGTACTGAAACTCCAGCTAGCGTAGAACATAGCTTTGGTGGGAGCAAAGCAGTCAGAACATCCGACGTCACTAGTGTGCCAGTTTTATGAGTGAGGTCCTGAACTCAACCGCAAATGCTGGTTTTACTATTTAAAGCCTTAAAACTGATTGGGGTCAAGTTCACCTTCATTCCTGTTGATCTCCTTCCATTTTCAGGAATGGAAATCCTTCTTACCTTCTTTTCTTTGACAGCAGTTAAGCCAATTAATGCAAGTAGGACCACACTCCACCCATTCATTCCCAGGTTTTCTGTAAAAGCTCTAAACTTCCATTTGTTTTTCCCCAAGACTTTTCCTAAATGGGATTCTATTGTTCTGTTCTGGTTTCAACTCCACACAAGGTTCAATTTTGATACTTTGCCTTGAGAAGGCTCTCGTCCTTTAGGATAGCCTAGAAATATTCTAAACATATTTAATATATATTTTTAACACAACCTTTTCTCTCTAGAATAGCCAAATGAAGTGGGAACCACAGATAAAAAAGGCAGAAGAAAATTTCAAAATGGTTGTTTATCATCCTATTAAAATCACACAAAAAATGGCATAGTTGAAGAATTTATTTTAATGCACTTGATTAACTGGGATTAACTGGGTTATGTTAGAGGAAAAGCAGAAAAAACTGTAGTAGCATTTGGAAGACTAACATACTTCTTAAGACATTAACTTTCATAGAGTTAGGTGCAATCTACTGACTGAATGGCCTACAATCCACCAAAACCAATGAGAAACGTAGGAGTAGTTTTTAAATTGTTGTGGGATTTTTGTGGTTTTTATGATGCTGATGCCCACTTTCCAGGAAACATACAAGAACACAGGTTTACATGCAATTTTAGAAATGCTGCGGTCTGACTTACTTTGCTAGCATGAATCTATAACTGCTTTTCTGTTTTGCAATTATAAAACAATAGCCTAACTGTGTGTGTGTATGTATGTGTGTGTAGTGTATGTGTGTGTACACACGCACAAAAATACCTGTACTCCTTTTCATCAACACATTTAGACTTTAAAACTGAACATTTATCTGAGCTGGAATGTTTTGAGCAAATATATCTATCTCAGATATTAATTAATTAGTTAAATATCAAACAAGACTTAAAGAAACAGAAATGAAATAAATGAAAGAGTAACATTATTTTAAATTAAATTTCATCTTTAAAAAAAAGCCTGTGGCATTTCTAATCAGCATCAAGTCTTTCTGTGATAATAATCAGCAATCTCTGAAAATGAATAGAATTGCAAAGTCTAAAATCTGCTCTTCTGTCTCACAACTGTTGTCATCCATTTTTACAGTAGTATAGATCACCTACATGTTAGAGAGACTCTGAAGATTATATAAATCATTTAGCAGGGAGAGGGAAATGGGGAAAAAAAACCCACTTACGCATACATGAAGGAGTGTCAGCTGTCCATTGTGTAGCATTTTCTTTCCAAATGCATGTCACAACTCCGTGACCAATCAGCTGATGCTCTTCAGAACAATGAAATGTAATTACAGAGCCAATAGTGGTACCATTTCCGTAGATTATCTGTGATGAGCCAAAATGAGGAGGAAATATCTGGCTGCACTGTCCTAGGAATTCAAAAGGGAAGAATAAAAGCAGTGGTTTTATTTTTATCACCATGTATTTTGGACAGAAACGTATTTAGCATGAATGCATCTGAATATCATCATGAGATTAAAAACAATTGCGATGAAATGAGTAAGCATCTGGTATAGAACTGTGGGAAAGAGTTATGCTAAGAACTTAAAAGAATGGACTTAATGATAAATTGTGCACCGAAAGCACTCTGAATTTGAGACATTCTTAAAGATGAAACAACAAAATATATCCAGAAATGCAAAAAAGCAAAAGAAGGCAAAATGGCTGTTTGCTGATAGTGAAAATAGTTGGAGAAGGGTGGAAAATAAAAAGGCAGCACAGATAGAAGAACATTTACCCAACAAAATGCTGATATCTAGAGATAAGCAAAAGGAAACAAGAAATCACTCAGTGTATGTCTAAATAAGTAAAGAATCGGAGGATAACAATTAGATAGGAGATATAAGTAGATGTATTTTTTTAATTACAGAAATAGAAGAAAATAAGATGAGTATAATAAAAGGCAAAAGAATCAAACCTGTACTGATGAAAGAAAATATAATCAGAATTGAGATGGTGAGAACTGTATAAAGCAACAAGAATCCAAATCCGTTTCAGGTATTCCTTGCCTTATGATCACAACTGAGGCCAAAATTTCCATTGCCAAGCAAGACAGTTGTTAAGTGCATTTTGCCCCATTTTACAACCTTTCTTGCCACAGTTGTTAAGTGAATCACTGCAGTTGTTAGGTTAGTAACATTATTGTTAAGTGAGTGTGGCTTCCATATGGTGCAAAGTCGCAAAAGGTGATCACATGACCTTGGGACACTGCAACCATACAGGCCAGTTGCCAAGGGTCCAATTTTGATCATGTCACCATGGGGACAACAGTCATAAGTGTGGAAAATGGTTGTAAGTCACTTTTTCCAGTGCGGTTGTAATTATGAACGGTCATTAAACAAATGGTGTTAAGTCGAGGATTACCTGTATATACATAAACGTTTAACCATAGAACTAGAGCCAGACATTAAGTTAAAGGACCCTAGAAGCTGCAGGAGGTAATGGAATAGCAGTGGAACCTTTAAGTCTTCCGAAATAATGCAATTAAAGTGCTATTATGTGTTTGGTGAGCAGATATGAAAAACCCAACAGTAGCCAACAGACTAGAAAATATCAATTGATACTGTAATTTACCAAAAAAGATAACACTGGTAAATAATGCTAATACTACTGAACAATTACGGTATGTTTATCTTGCATCCTTGCAAGAGAATGCTCAAGACTTTGCAATTCAACTTTCAACCATACCAGGGGTGGGTTTCAGGCGGTTCGCGGCGGTCCCCGCGAACCGGTTGGTCGGCGAACCCGGAAGTAAGTAAGTAACTTCCGGGAACGCTGAAGGATCCGCCCGCCCGCCCGCGTTTCTTACCCGGTTTTGACGAGTTCTGCGCTTCCATGCATGCGCAGAACGCATACAGCGCCTGCGCGATCCTCCAGGAGCAGCTGGAGCATCGCACAGGCGCTAGTACGCATGCGTGCACTGTGCGCGTGCACAAGGATGCCACTGGCCCCGTTCCAACCGAACCGGTTGGAATGGGGCGAGAAACCCACGCCTGAACCATACCCAGAGAGAATTTCCAAGTGTACAAACTGAATTCAGAAGAGGTAGAGGCACCTTGGATTACCAGTACCTCCCTGGCAGCTGCCCAGACTTTGCTGAAATACGGGTGGCTATATAAATGTTTTAAATAACGAAATAAGTTGAATTGTGCAAAAGAAGGGGAATTCCCAAAGTACATTTATTTTTAAAACATAAAACCAAAATAAAACCCAGTAATTTAATCATCCCGCTCCAGAAATCATCAGTCTACCCTAGTACCCTCAGTAAAAAGCAAAGTCTTGATGGTCTTTTGAAAGCTGTAAGGGCGCCTGCTGAATCACACAATATACACACACTTATGTGCACAATATGCAGAACATATTGTGAGAAAAGCTGAATTTGCAGAAATAGAAATGTTTCTGGGAAAAGCACCAATAATCTCAGAGATGTTAATTACTCACTATAATGGCTAGAAGGGAGAAAAAAATTAAGGAATTGCATATTAAAGGTGAAAGAATAGAATACCAAAGTTGGTCTGCTACTTATTAAAAGACACAACTATGGTGGGTGACTTAGAGGTTCCGCTGCTATTTCACCAACTCCTGCAGTTTTTTAGGTAGGAAGTACCTGAAATTATGGGCGGGAAGGGTTGTTTTCTGGGGGCAAAGAGAAAGTGGAACTGGAATGCCTGGTAGGTAGGAAGAGGGTGAGGGTGAACCCTCTCTAGCAATTCATAGAGAATATCTAATAGCTACTCAGATAGTTCCAGGGGTGGTATTCACTTACCTTCCCTACCGGTTCGCAAATGTGAGTGCGCATGCACAGCCTTCCTTGCATGCGCTTTTGAGCCGGGGTGAGTGGGCGGCGCCATCTGTGATTTTCACTACTGTTTCAGGCGAACCGGTCCGAACTGGTAGAATACCACCTCTGGACAGTTCCCTTAGCTCCCTCTTCAGCTCTGACTGGATGGTAGAATATTTCCAATCCCCATCATTCAGTCAGAGCTGAATTTAGTTTAAGTACGGCTTGTTGTAATTTAGTTTAAGTATGGCTTCTCTTTCATTAAAAAAAATATTACAAGTGACTTCACTGTCCATTGTCCTGCCAGGACATTGGAAGTCAAGCATGGCAACTGAAAGGAGAAAGACCAAATATTAGATCCCATGACAAAAGTCATACCATCAAGAGAAAATATGCTTACCATACAGTTGCAAAATCCTGGAGTTTAAAGTCTTCCTAGCACTATGGCATTTCTCTTTGGTTTAGTATTTATTTGAATAGTATTTTTCCATCTAGATCAAGTTTTAATGTCTGTGGCTCAACCCTCTTTGGCAGAGGTGGGCGGTACATGAATTAACAACCAAAAAAGTACATGTACGCCATCCGTGCATGTGCCCGGCCTTCTGCGCATGCGCTTCACTCACACGTGTGTCTTGTGCGCATGGCGAAATAGGACAGCATAGTGCCAGGGCGGGTGCCACTCATAGGTCACAACTACTGCTTTACCCAAACCGGTCCGAACCAGCAATAGCCCACCACTGCTCTTTGGTCTTAGTGGTGTTCAGGTTTCCAATTGAGGCAATAATACCTTCCCCACCAGAATCATAAAAAATGAAAGACGGTTGTGGGAAACTCATTTCACTGGTAGACGGAGATGTAACAAGTGCTCCATTATGCCTGACTTATTTTGAAGCTTAAAGAAGTCACCATATTCTTCTTTTTATTTTAATTTGAAAAGAATGCTTATCATCACTAACATTGATGAGAGTTGAGAGAATGCACACCAACACCCTTGCCCTTTAGGACAGGGCACCTAAAGTCAAGATACAATTAAAAAATGTCCTTCCATGGCCTCTTTCCTACCAGAAAAGTTATTCAACCCAGGTATGAAAAAAGACCGCAGACACATAACTTGCTCTGTGCTATCGACAATGACTGCACTGTTGGCAAAAGTGGCAGCAATTAGTTTAATTGGAGGCCTGCAGGATGTTGTCCACCAAATTATTGTCTCTCCTGTAACAGAAAAGGGCAGTTTGTATGACTGTGCTATAAACAACACAATCAACTAATTTCTGTGAGACAAACTTGCATATACTTTGATGCAATCAGATTCTATAATCAATGAAGACCATAGCATACAATAATTAGGGGAAAATAAAAGTTTGCTTTTGCAAATTTGCTCGGATGGTTTCCTTCTTCAGTTATTGATGAGCTTCTTCTTGGGTACAGATTATTAGCCAGGGATATGATAAGAAGCAAGAGTGCCAGCACTGCTCAAAGCAAAATAAAGAATGGCAGGGGGTAGGATAGAAAGAAAAGGTAGACAGAATTGTCACAGCCAGGCTGTTACAAATTGTTCAGGCAGATGAGCTGCAAAGAGCCATGGCTTTCAAGAACAGAACTGCTATTAGATCACACATGGCTCCAACCTTCTCAAAGCTTCAACTTTCTCAGCAGATTTCATCCATACCTACTTCCCCCTTTGTCCTTTCCCTTTCCAAAGCCCAACCTCATTTTCTGCAATTTCCCCATCCAAATGATTAAACTACTCAGCTGAGCAGGACTCACTTTCTGATGGAATGTAATTGTCCTAGATCACTGATATCTAACCTTTTTGGCACCAAGTGTCGAAAGTGGAGCATGTACATGCATGCATGTATGGGCTGGAGTGCCGGAACCCAGAAAAGAGCAGCTGGCCAGTGCACATGCATGCAGTGGGGAGCTGCTCTTCCGGGTTCTGTCAAGCTCATGTGCGCCGGACAGCTGGTCCAGTATCCATGTGCACTGGCCAGCTGCTCTCTTCCAGGTTCCGGTGCGTGCATGCACTGGAACCTGGAAGAGCAGCTGCCCATCGCGTGCATGCCGCTGGACCAACTATCCAGTATGCATGCGTGTGAGGGGACCCAGAAGAACAATTGGCGACAGCGCGCATGCCCACAGAGGGAGCCTGTGGCACGTGTTCTAGACTCTAACAGCAAAAAATAAAACCCTCAGATATGATCTATCTGATTAGCTGCTCATTGGAGTTAAAGAAAGGAAGGATTCAGAAATAATGCTGAGAAATACTATAAGGAGGTTTCTTTTAAAACTATAGAAAAATGCAGGGTATATTCTTTAAAATTATTTTTCTCAATCAAAGAGAGATACTGAGCTCTCTCCATATTGAGAACAATTTAACAGATCAGAGGAAAAGACTCCATTCTGACGCCTGAAACACGGATCCTGTCTAGCCCATGAGACCCAGTGAAGCAATCTGTATTTCAACTGGATTTGGTTTCCTTCTTCTGCTTCCAAGTCCTAGAACAGAGGGCTCTCAGGCAGGCTTCCTGGGAAGGAATTTCTTCCCTTTCCATAAAACAATATTCTAACCACTTTCCCACTTAGGACGAA